TGTTTAATATATATATATATATATATATATACATATATTGACATACATGCATACATACGTACATATCATACTTGCCTGTAGAGAGGAGTTTATTTCAGCATCATATAAAATCAACAATAATAATATTAAATAATAATATTAAAGCAAACACAGCTCTGGTATCGGAAAAGTATCGGTATCGGCCGATATCCAAATTCAGGTATCGGGATCGGATCGGAAGTGAAAAAATGTGGATCGGTGCATCCCTAGTTTTAATACTGATGATTTTGGCATACAGCTCATGAAAACCCAAGATTCCTATCTCAAAAAATTAGCATATCATGAAAAGGGTCTCTAAACGAGCTATTAACCTAATCATCTGAATCAACTAATTAACTCTAAACACCTGCAAAAGATTCCTGAGGCTTTTAAAAACTCCCAGCCTGTTTCATTACTCAAAACCGCAATCATGGGTAAGACTGCCGACCTGACTGCTGTCCAGAAGGCCATCATTGACACCCTCAAGCAAGAGGGTAAGACACAGAAAGAAATTTCTGAACAAATAGGCTGTTCCCAGAGTGCTGTATCAAGGCACCTCAGTGGGAAGTCTGTGGGAAGAAAAAAGTGTGGCAAAAAACGCTGCACAACGAGAAGAGGTGACCGGACCCTGAGGAAGATTGTGGAGAAGGACCGATTCCAGACCTTGGGGGACCTGCGGAAGCAGTGGACTGAGTCTGGAGTAGAAACATCCAGAGCCACCGTGCACAGGCGTGTGCAGGAAATGGGCTACAGGTGCCGCATTCCCCAGGTCAAGCCACTTTTGAACCAGAAACAGCGGCAGAAGCGCCTGACCTGGGCTACAGAGAAGCAGCACTGGACTGTTGCTCAGTTTTGCATGTCATTCGGAAATCAAGGTGCCAGAGTCTGGAGGAAGACTGGGGAGAAGGAAATGCCAAAATGCCTGAAGTCCAGTGTCAAGTACCCACAGTCAGTGATGGTCTGGGGTGCCATGTCAGCTGCTGGTGTTGGTGCACTGTGTTTTATCAAGGGCAGGGTCAATGCAGCTAGCTATCAGGAGATTTTGGAGCACTTCATGCTTCCATCTGCTGAAAAGCTTTATGGAGATGAAGATTTCATTTTTCAGCACGACCTGGCACCTGCTCACAGTGCCAAAACCACTGGTAAATGGTTTACTGACCATGGTATTACTGTGCTCAATTGGCCTGCCAGCTCTCCTGACCTGAACCCCATAGAGAATCTGTGGGATATTGTGAAGAGAAAGTTGAGAGACGCAAGACCCAACACTCTGGATGAGCTTAAGGCCGCTATCGAAGCATCCTAGGCCTCTATAACACCTCAGCAGTGCCACAGGCTGATTGCCTCCATGCCACGTCGCATTGAAGCAGTCATTTCTGCAAAAGGATTCCCGACCAAGTATTGACTATTGAGTGCATAACTGAACATAATTATTTGAAGGTTGACTTTTTTTTTTTTTTTATTAAAAACACTTATTTTATTGGTCGGATGAAATATGCTAATTTTTTTAGACAGGAATTTAGGGTTTTCATGAGCTGTATGCCAAAATCATCAGTATTAAAACAATAAAAAGACCTGAAATATTTCAGTTGGTGTGCAATGAATCTAAAATATATGAAAGTTTAATTTTTATCATTACATTATGGAAAATAATGAACTTTATCACAATATGCTAATTTTTTGAGAAGGACCTGTATATATATATCCTTTTGAGTGCTTACATTATTCCTATAAAAATCACTAATCACGTATATGCATGGTCATATAATCATTTCTATATAGATTGTGATGACATTGATATGTCTCTAGTAAAAAAAGTAATAGATGGGATAGTTGATCCACTTTCATATATATATATATATATATAATCTATCATTTAAAACAGGAGTATTTCCAGACAAGATGAAAATAGTTAAAGTCATTCCATTGTATAAATCTGGTGAAAAACTATTTGTCAAAAGATTAGATAATTTCTTTAACAGAAAAAGTTTATTAATGGACAGCCAGTATGGATTCAGAAGCGGCAGATCAACGTCTAGGCACTTATTGACATAGTTGAAAGATTAACAAATTGTATTGAAAATAAAAACTACGCAGTGGGGATTTTCATTGACCTGAAAAAAGCTTTTGATACTGTTGATCACAAAATCCTGTTAAAAAAAAATTAAAAAGGTATGGCATAAGTGGTGTGGCTTTCAATTGGATAAAAACCTATATTGAAAACAGGAGTCAGTTTCTTTAAATGGGTAATCACCGAGTCAGTTTTAGGCCCAAAATTGTTTATCCTACTTAAAATGACATGTGTAAAATTATCAAATGATCTAAAGTTGACTATTTTTGCAGATTATACAAATATTTTTGAATGTGGGAATAACTTACAGCAGATGGTGGAAATGGTCACTAATGAAATTAATAAATTAAAATTCTGGTTTGATTCAAATAAGTTATCCTTAAATTTGAATAAAACCAAATTTATGATATTTGGAATCCACACTATTGATATAGATGTTAAAATAGAAATTGATAACGAATCAATTAAAAGAGTCTATGAAAATAAATTTCTGGGTGTTGTACTTGACCATAAACTCTGCAGCTCTTCCTGAGGAGTGAACGTTTTATCAGCCTGTTTTGGTCGACTGTGCTGATAATACTGAGCTCAGGCTCTCTTCAACCTTGATGAGAACTGATTTTCGTTAGTGCTTTGTGTGTGCGTTTGACATTATGTGTAGGTTCTGGACCTCGTGATATACCACATACGACCCACAGACGCCTTTCTCCAACCTGCGAGGTCACCACAGACCTAAATCACCGGACGACAACTATCTTGACTAATGGCGATATACCCCCATATCTATCCATATGTGCAAACTTGTTTAAACATTATGTTCTCTTAGCCAATCAGGACTAACAATGATGTAATGCATGCCCTTGCATGCAAAATGGTAAGATTTTGTGTAAGGTAGAGTTGGCTTTCGACCTCCTCGTGAGAGTTTGACGCTCGCTCTACCGATGAAACTGCAAACTATTCTTCAGTAAATTTTTACCTATTTGATTGAACCTCACGATTCCTGGTCTTCTTTCATCATATCTGGTCCTGGGCTGAAGCTGTTTACCCCTAACACCTTAAACTCTTTAATAAGAGAATAACCAGTTGGGAGCGATAATAAATGACAGAGTGTGAACACTGCATGCAGCTGCACACATTTAGCATAGCTAATGAAAACATTGCCCTTTGAAATAAATAAACGTGTCAGAGTTATGCAGCTAAATATGGCAAACCCCGTCCGTTGAAAGCGTGAATGCAGCTTATTTCACTTTTACCTTTTCTCATATCCATAGTTTGATGGCATTTCCTCACAGTAAATAGAGCGCTTGATGCTGCATAAACACATTATGTAAACGCTGCCTGCTTACATGCTTAGTAATTCAATCCTGAAGGACATGACACTTAGTTTATCACTTTTTTATGATTGCTCTTTAGGAATAAATATAGCAGACCATGCATGCAATATGCACAGAGTTATGGAGTAATATCGTTCACTTATCTTAGGTGTTGATTTCAGATGCTTTCTGAAAGTGCACTGCAGACTGCTAACAGCAAACAATGGCAGGTATCTGAATGTTGAGCATAAATCTTGTTGGCTGCTGATACAACAGCAACTAATCAGCTGCGCTACCTAGATGTCAATATGACCGCTACAAATGGACCTATATAGGACCATATATCAGCCTGCGCCATCTACAGTTTCATGACAGAACTTTGTATTCACTTCAACTACATTTCATCGATTTTTAGAAAAATGCACATTTCCCCCAGCTAAATAATTTACCAAACGTAAATGCATCAGTTTAATATTATTTAGAACAAAGAGAACGAGAGAACAAGAGTCTGCCAAAAATAATTATAATTTTTTGACTCGATGAAAAAAAAAAAAAACAGCTTATAAATCATGTTAAATTATGTTTTTAGAAAATTTAAAAAGGTGTTCTGTGGTGGGTAGGATTTATGGTAGTTAGGGTTAGGGAATAGAATACAGTTTGTACAGTATAAAATGTAGGCTATGTCTATGGAAAGTCCCCATAAAACATGGAAAACCGACACATGTGTGTGTGTGTGTGTTATTTAAAAATAATAATAATAATAATAATAATAACAGTGTATCAATAAATACAAAATTATTTCAGTGGATATTTCACAATCATGTAATTTGTTTTGCTCCTCATTTGTTCTGCTACATATCTTTCATAATAGCCTACACCACATCTGGTATGACGAAATTTCTACAATGTATAATTTTTTTTTTTTTTTTTTTTTGCCTTCTGGAGGCTTGAATGAGATATCCGTATTATCACGTGGTTTCTGGGAAGAGCAGCGTTTCTTTTGAAACGAATTAAACTGGCAGAAGGGAAATTGGCTGAAAGAAAATGCCAAAGTGGGCGTGGTTTATGATGTGTTAAGACCGTTAAGACATGCTCAGTAAAGATGTCACCGATGTCACATAACACCTGCTCGTGTTGTAGTAATATTCATTATTCCCCAAGTGATGTAGCCGCACAAAGCAATATATATATATATATATATATATATATATATATATATATATATATATATATATATATATATATATATATATATATATATATATATATATATATATATATATATATATATATATACAATAAAGGAGCGTGTCACACGTTAAGTCATGTGTTACCTAGGACTTTTCTAATCGGTGGGAAGTCGACCCAATCGCAGTGAGTGACAGTGAGCGGGGAATTTTTCCAAATTATTTCACAGTAACGTTACATGTTTAGCAATGTTTTTATATGATTACTAGGCCGTCGGCATACATATTTACACATTTCACCAATAATTTGTTAATTCAAAAATATTCCGTACTCTTTGACGAACAGAGTGATAATTCGAGGCTGTGAGCCGCTGAGCGCCCCCTACAAAAGTGCTTCAAACAGGTCAGGACGCTCCACTGTTTTGCTTTCAGGAATTTCTAGTGCGATCATCTGCGATGGGCTGGACAGGCAGACTGTGATCTCCAGAACTGCTGACAGTATACACGACCGAAACTAAAGGTAGGCTAAGCGAAACTACAAACTACATAATCATTTTCACAAAGTTTAAACAAAAATGCCGTTTTGTCAGCGAAATTATTTATACAACGAACTATTTAGGCTACATTGATTTTTGATGTGGATAGTTTAGAAGAAATTGTTGAAATTATAAAATACATTGTATCTCTATTTGATTTTTATTTAAGCATAATTCAATTATAAGTTGACAAAACGTATTGTGAATGCGTCTTAATAAAGTTAAGGCATATATAATAATAGTAGTATGATACAATTACCGCCGCTCCTGTAAGTTACTGCACTACCAAGGGAGGGAACCAAACAGCGATTTTTATCTAAGAACGAAAGTGATTGCGGAAATTGTTTAGAGTCAAGATAATTTAAGAATTGTTTAGAGTCTAAATAAGATTTATAACAACCTGTGGGTAATTACAAAATTTATGCTTATTGTTTTAGTCAAGTGTAATAATAGCTCCATTGATCACTGTTGTTCTAATAACCCCAAAAAGCTCACAAGAACAAGCTCAGAAACACATCTAAAACATTATCTCATTTCATTGGGCTCAAAACACATCCATTCATTCAGAAACTTTACTCACTTACATTCATTGTAGAGACAAAATGGTCACTCTGAGAAAAATAGCTGTCAACCTTAAAATAAGAGAAGTCTCTCAGACCGCTGCACTGACAAAGACATGGAGTTGTTATAAAGAACCTTAAACAGTAAAAAAAAAAAAAAAGAGAGTCCTGACAGAAGCTCAGCCAGAGAAAAGAGGGTCCGGGATTTTGCAGACTTTCATAAGGTAAGATACAAGAACAGGTTAGAGTAGTGAAGACTGATCAGTGGCTACTGTTGACTAGATGCTCAAAATGTCATATATATAAATGTCAATATTAAAACTGTAATCCACATTTGTATAGCTTGATCAGCAGTTGTTTAATTAGTTTGGCTGACCAATAAAAAAAATGAATCAAATGTATTATTTATTACTATTATTATTATAATTAGCATTATTATATTCATCATTATTTGGCATTATTATGTAGCATTTACATTAAAATACACATTTGGTGTTTCTAATTTTAAAAAGTAATTGATTTTGTTTATGAAAACACTTGGCATGAGTGTTGATGAAAGATTCATCTTCAATTTAATACTCATTTTATTGGAAGAGTATTCACAAACCCCCCCCCCCCCCCCCCCCCCCCCAAAAAAAACTAAATATAGTTGGGCTAAATATAATAACTTCTGCATACCTTATTGCATACGTTCCATGGTACCATGTCAAATAACATGGTATTACCCACCTCTGAACTTTCAAATGTGTGAGATGTCTGACTTTCTTAAGACAAATCAGCATCTGTCAATCAATGTGTTTTTCAGATGGCATCTGGAAGGATTCGCTCCACGCGCCGTCTGCGCTCCTGGATAGTGGAACAGGTGCGTGTGTGTGTGGTATGTTGAGTGTGTCAAAGGATCTGAGTTAATAAAATCTTTGATAGTTTAGATTTGATAGTTTTTCATTGAAATAATGCTTCTTTTTTCTTTTTTATGTTACATCTTATGCTGTTAAATTATAGTTTATTGTATTATTTTAGTGTCATCTGTGTTACCGCGATGTTGTTTTGTATTTGTGTATGACATGCACCTGACCTTATGTTTAGTATTTATCTCAACTTGTGGAAAAGCTACATGTGATTCATTATGTACTAGCTGTCTCTTTACCTCTTGTATTTTCAAGGTGGATGACAGTATATTATCAAAGTAAAAAAAAAAAAAATAGATTTGAGTAGTTTGGTAATGAAGTAGTTATAATGTATTTTAGTTCTTTTAGTTAATGAAATCTTTTTTTTTACAGTAAATTTAACTCCAATCTGTAAAATCTAAAAATGTTGCTAGCTACCTATTTTTCTGGCATCCACAGTTGCCTTTTTATTTATTTATTTTATTTATCTTTTATGTGCAGGCAGAGTATCTAGCTGCCTAATATTACCTAAGGGTCGCAGGTCATAAATATGAATAATTATGATTAATAATAATAACTGTTTCTCTCTTGTGTGTGCTTTGGGATATAGGTGAACAGTGGGAAGTATCACGGCCTAGTGTGGGACAACACTGATAAAACTATGTTTCGTATCCCATGGAAACATGCAGGAAAACAAGATTTCCGAAGTGAGGAAGATGCAGCTATTTTCAAGGTGGATATACATTTCTCTGTGTGTGTGTGTGTGTGTGTGTGTGTGTGTGTGTGTGTGTGTGTGTGTGTGCGTGCCGCGTGCGTGTGTGTTTGTGTTCATGTTTTTCTATCCCTGTGGGGACTTCAACCTGAACACTGACTCATGGGGACTCATGTCACTGTGGGGACCTAAATTGAGGTCCCCATGAGGAAACAAGCTTATAAATCATACAGAATGAGTTTTTTTTTGTTGAAAATGTAAAAATGCAGAAAGTTTCCTGTGATTGGGTAGTTTTAGGGGTAGAGTTAGTGTAATGGGATAGAATATACAGTTTTTACAGTATAACAAACATTACGTCTATGGACACAAAGATAGCGGCCCAGACGTGTGTGTGTGTATGTGTCTACATTACATTACATTACTGTACATTACATTATATATATATAGATATATATGATATATATTGGCTGGCTAAGCACTGGATCTTTTCACTGTTGATACCTTTTGTTCTGCTAGTATATCAAATAGTTTGTTTCCACCTCTGTGGAATTACAGGTTGATGATAATTAATTTGCACATTACTGATTATAATTAATTTGAAAGATAGTTTGAGCAGTAATTCACTTATTAAGAAATTAAACATTAAAAAAATATATATATTAATTTGAACTTTTCCGATTGAAGGCTTGGGCGGAGTTTAAAGGGAAGCTTTTGGAGAATGGAAATGACCCTGCATCCTGGAAAACTCGCCTTCGCTGTGCCCTCAACAAAAGTCCAGAGTTTAGTGAGGTCGTTGAAAGATCACAGCTGGACATCTCAGAACCCTACAAAGTGTACCGCCTCGTACCACTAGAAGAACAAGGTAACAAATGGATGTGGAAACATTTGTTTGTAACATAGCAGGGTTGCCAACTCTCACGGATTTTACACCTTCAGTCTCTTTCTCTCATGCCCCCCATATACATTTCAACACAAAATAATCCCTAAATTTGCAAAAATCCTTAGCATTTTCCCACCATAATGAGGCTCGATTGGTCTAAACCAGGGGTGTCTAGTCCTGGGCCACTATCCAGCAGAGTTTAGCTCTAGTCCTCATTAAACGCACCTGAACCAGCTTATTAAGGTCTTTAGGACCACTAGAAACTTCCAGGCAGGTGTGTTGGAGCCAGAGTATGTGAGCGGAGTGGAGCGGCAACAATTTTCCCCCCGCGCTCCAAGCATTTAATAATTACTCCGCTCCGGGTTCACCATTTACCGCTCTGCTCCACTCCTCGCTCACTGATATCAAAAACACCGCTCCGTCTTCGCTCCCCGAGGAAATTGCGAATAAAGTATTTATAAGTATGCTTTGAAATCTCGCAAAAGTTCTGCTCATAATATATAGGCATATTAAATAAAAAAAAATAAAAAAAACAATACTAGGAGAATAGTTTCAATGTGGTTTATTGGATAGTGTGCAAACTTTTTCTATGACATGCTAAGCTTATTACATGGTTATCAGCATTAAAAGTTATCATTGCAAATATCATTGCTGCTTTTTGCAGTGCACATTTTGTTTGGAAAGAAGAAAATAACTACGTTTTCATCAGTTATTTTGTCTACGGGTTGCTACCCCTACTTACAGATTTCTGCTCATTCGAAATCAAATACAGACAGCACTGTAAGATTACATTTGTTTGAATACAATGCATTAGTGAGAGAGATCAATTGCGTGTGTGAATAAGTGTTACCTGTTTAAAATGTGCTTTCACCCGATCCAGCCCGATCTCATGAAAGAGCATATCTATAGCACAAATTTTATTTTTCATACCATTTATACGGCAAAAGTTTTGCGTGCATATGATACGCTGTTTTCGCGTGCATATGATACGCACTTTATGGCGTGTAATACGCATGGACTCCACACCCCTAATCCTACCCAAGGGGGTTTAGTGCGCATCATTTGCACGCAAAAACTATTTTTGGCGTATTTAACAGGGTTCAGAAGTTATGGGAAGAAGGAGGCGGGAACCGGCGAACGTTCAACAATATTTAATAAAGAAATAAATACAAAAATGAAAGTATAAGCCAGCAGCCCCTCACGGACGACTGCTGGCCACAGAAACAAAACACAACACAAAATCAGGCCTCTCTCAATCTTTACTGTCGTCGCTCCTCCTTTATGCTTCCGCTCCTCCGTGAGAGATGCGAGACCGGTGCGTCTCACAGGTGTCGCTCATTACCACTCACGCCACCGGCCTCGCGCCGCTCTCTCATCCCTCGGCCTCGTCCTGCTCGCCACAGCGTATAAATGGCACGAGAAAAAAATAAAATTGGTGCTATAGATATACGCACTTTCATGAGATCGTGTTGCCCGATCATATTCAGTAAGCTTGAGAGCTATAACCTCTCGCAGCCACTCATGTCCATCGATATGCGTCATCATAACCTTGAAAAAAAATTCTGATTTGAGTGATCTATCTGCTAGCCAAATGTGTTTAACGTGTGAATCCTTACTAAAAATGCAGTTCTATAATGGGCCGTTGGCATGACTTGTACTCGTGATGGAGCCTATACGGCCTTGGATGGAGCGGTAGTGGAGCGCTCAAGAAGCGAGTGAAAACCACGACGCTCCGACTTTTAAAAAATCCGCTCCGCACTCTATTCAAAATCACACCGCTCCGTTTCCACTCCGCTCACATACTCTGGTTGGAGCTAAACTCTGCCGGAAAGTGACCCATCAGGAGCTGGATATTGGACACCCCTGGTCTAACAGATGTTCTGGATTGGACTGGTCTGAGTGGCTGTTTACACGACACCGTTTCCAACTTCAAACTTTCATTCACACAACAACGGCGTTTTGGGTGCCTGAAAACGCAAACTTTTGAAAACAGGTTTCAAAGTGTGAATCCGCGAAAACGATGACATCATGCACATGCATATGACATGTTCAGTCTAAACGCATTCTATCCTAGACGCTATACGCAGTCTATCAGTCTGTAGTGTTTCATCGCCATCTAATGGCCTGGCAGCAAAATACAGCGGATTTGTGTGAATGGGGATCGTTTTGACAATGGTGTCGTCTACGTGGGAAACTCAAAGGAAAAACTTCTCTGTTTTAAGCTTATCGTTGTCGTGTAAACGTACCCTATAGCAGCAAGATTCTACCAATAACATTTCACTAGGTGACTTTTAAAGAACTTGCAATCTAGAGTAATAAATGGAGGACATGGAGAAACACCAGGAATTAGATTCCGCCCCGTCGGCCAGTCCCCAGCTTTCGCCTAGCCCTTCAGTCAAGGCTCCACCGTGGTGTATGTGTCCTCCGACTCCTCCTGGTCTATGTCCCTCCCCCGTACTTTCACGATTGTTGACTTCTATTTTGTTATTCTGTTCTGTTAATCCCTGTTTTGCATACTCTGTTTAGTTCCGGTTTCATTGGTTACTGATTATCTCGTTTGTTTCTATAGTTGCGTATAATTATCACCTGTCAGTCGTTATGTTCGACTTGTATTTAAACTCCCTGTTTTGTTTAGTCCCTTGTCAGTTCTCGTTTCAGTTTATATAGTTTGCATCTTCTAGATCTAGATATCTCCTGAGTGTTTGTTATTCTAAATAAAGACTTTGTTTGTGAACTCTATCGTCGTGCGTGCTGCAGACCACCCTTACCTATGTATGCATATGCATGGTTATATTCAATCACTTTTTTTGCACTACTTGGAATGATTACTACTTTATTCTGCATCCTGGTGGTTGGATGTTAACTGCATTTCATTGGCTTTGTATTTGTACTTTGCTCAATGACAATAAATGGAAGTGAATTGAATTGAATGTTCTGTAAAAATATCTTCTTCTTTTTTATTGTTTGTTTTGTTTGTCTATTTAATTTTTTTGGAGAAAATAAGCTTTCTTAAACATCAAACATTGACTATAAAAAAGTTTTGCCCATTCCTACAGTTTACATGAACAGCAAAAAAATCATGTGAGTATGTAAAGGAGTTACTTTTTGTAATTATTTGCTTCATTTTCCTCTCATCATAGGAGGGGTGAAAGTAAAAAAAGAGAATGGACAGAAAGCAGTGAGAAGCATCAGGAGGAGACACAGCGAATCTGAGCATGATCAGGAGATCGAATGCAAAAAGATCAAAAAGGAGGTTGTTGTGTTCCAGCCCATCAACATGGTAAAAACATAACTAATCATTGAAGAGCTATGCTGTTCAAACTTTAATTAAGATGCTATTTGCAACATGCATGCTAAATAGAGAAAGCCTGCCTTAAAAAAGCAAAACAAACAGTCGAAAACGTGCACTGAGACACATTTTACATTCCACTTAGCAGAGTCTACAATTAATTGAGCACTATTTCCACTTCTGATCTTAACAGAGTGCACAGGAAACTGTACCACACACAGGAAGTGAGATCGGGATGCAGACAATCCTCTTAAAGAGTGACAGTAATTACCTGATTTTACTCAATGAATTTTACCTGAGTTTTCAACTTGGTTCATTTGTGGTTAATGTTGATGTTAGTAATGCAAAGTGGATGTCTGACTTATTGTTATTCAACACTTTCTTGAGGTGCTGAAGATATCCAGTTAAACTTTACAATTGAAACAGTGCCTTTGTCTGAAGAAAAGAGAGGTAACTAAAAATACAATTTGATTCATTTATTGAGTAGAACAAATCTGATCTCACAACTGTTTCATGTTTAACCAAACTATCAGCAGATGGTTTCTAAAAACACTTTTGTTCTTTCAGTGCTGAACACTTTCCACATAACCGTGCACTACGTTGGTCAGGAGGTTCTGCGGCGAGAAGTAAGGGGTGATGATGTTCGGATTGCTTACCTGCCTCCGTCACCCGTCCCTCCGTCTCCACCGTCTCTGAGCGGCCCTGGCTTCCATCGAATCCCTCTCCCAGACCCCCCATTAGACATGGTTGATGACCCCAGCCTTGCCCCACGTTTGATTGATCTTAAAAAATTACTGCCCTTCATGGAGCGGGGAGTTGTGCTGACCTTGACAGGAGGAGGCATCTATGCCAAGCGTTTCTGTCAGGGACGGGTGTTCTGGAGAGGACCGCACAACACCACCACAGGACCCTGTAAAATGGAGAGAGCAAGCGAGCTTACCCAGCTGTTCAACATGGATACATTCAGACAGGGTAAGTGTTTCACAAGCAAATATTTTGCACTGGAAAACCCAGAATAAAACATTACTTGAGTGGTCAACTCAAATTTCTATGTTCCGTTAACACTTACAATAAGGTTCATTAATTAACATTAGTTAACTACATTAGTTAACATGAACTAATAATGAACTGCACGTATACAGCATTTATTTTCAACATTTACTTACACTTTATTCAAATCTTGTTAACATTAGTTAATGCACTGTGAACTAACATGAACTAACAATGAACAGCTGTATTTTTATACGTTAACAAAGATTAACAAATACAGTTACAAATGGATTGCTCATGGTTAGTTAATACATTAACTAATGTTAACTAATGAACCTTATTGTAAAGTGTTACCTATGTTCCTTATACGGTACTTCTTTGGCTTAAACGTTCACAAAAATAATGTCATCAAATACAAAAGATATGGAACATACACACACACACATATATGAATTATATTTTTTGTTTTCATTTGTATATATTAGTGTATAATAAGATATTCCTGTTGTCGCTGCCTAGCTTTGTAGTGGTAACAATCCATGTGAAGCGAATGAGGAAATTACGTAGTCTTTCATTGCTCCCTTCGCCAAGTGTGTTCCAAACGACTTCATTATGACACACAAGTGCCCTGCTCCCCCTAAAGTCCCCACTTCAATGGTTCTACACTTCGGAGTGAGTAGGGCATAGGGATGCTCACTTCCGATTGGAATTTGCCCACAAACTGTGCAGAGCGGGGAGGTGTGAGGACTGGAATTGGGAACCTTTGCCATAGAAGAAGCTTTTTGAGTTCACCAAAGAACCTTTCAGTGAACAGTTTTCTTAGTGTTAAGAACATTTGAATAATTTCAAGACCCTTTATCCACTATAAATAAGCTTTTGTCCAGAGGAAAGGTTCCGTGGATGTTAAAGGTTCTTCATGGAACCATAGATGCCAATAAAGAACCTTTATTTTATAGAGGGTAATAACAGGTCCTAAATAGTGGTCTATACTGCCAAGGACAAAATATCAGCTGATATTTGGCATTTTTTAATTTAGTTTTTCTGTTTGCTCCCATTCTCTCGCCATTAGTTTACTGTCTCTGTTTTACAGTTCTGTCTAATAAATTATGTAAGTATAATGGCATAAGTATAAGTAATTCCATAATTCTTTATTCCTATAGACTGCGCCCTGTTCAGACTGCCAGTCCAAATCCAATTTTTGTGCATATCTGATTGGAATCTAATCGTATCTAGCAAGTGTAAACGTCAAAAAAATCATGTGAAATGCGATTTTTACAAATCCGTTTCAAGCTACATTCATATTTGGTTTGAAATCCTATTCAAATCTAATTTCCAAAAAATGCTTTTTAATCTTACTGCTCTGATCGGAATTTGCGTAGTTTTTCTGCTTTTGTTACTTTCTCACGCCATGAAAAACATCAGACGTTGTAGTAGAAAATATGCTGAGAGTTGTTGCAGAAACAAGGTTGTGTTGTTTCGTGGTGTAGGTTGATTGCAAAATTACAATATACTGCTAGTCTGCTTCGTCTACACACAGACTCCACTGGTCTTATTACTCAAAGAGGTATCACCTTTATTTATATAGCGCCTTATACAATACAGATTGTTTCAAAGAACAAGTGTGATCAGTGATCAGATTTCAATTCTGCTGTAAAGCAGCTCTAAAGAACACAGTATTGTCATTATTCGGTTGAAATCAGTTCCGTGTTGATTGTTTTCGGTTCAAGAACTGTGTAAAGCTCATCAATTATGAAATGAGTTCAATTCTGCTATAAAGCAGCTCTGCAGAAAACAGTGATGTCATCGGTCCAGCTCAGTTCTCATCCGATAGTGTCTGTCTGTGCAGTCAAACCAATAATACTGCTGAATATTAAGTGTCCCCAACTAAACAAGCCAAAGGCGACAGTGGCAAGGAACCAAAACTCCTTCAGGTGACAGAATGGAGGAAAAAAAACCTTGGGAGAAACCAGGCTCAGTTGGGGGGCCAGTTCTCTTCTGGCCAAACGTGTGATTATGATTCCAGGATGCATCACAATATCAATATATTTCTTCCAGCTCCTTCTACTTGAAGATCTGGATACATCACGACAGCATTTGGTGGGAGAAGTTGAAGGTGGCTAGGGTCTGTTAGGTCTAGACGTTCCCATAACTTTCACTTTCTTTAACTGTTATGTAAATGGTAGGACAAAGCGTTCTTAAAATAATGTTTAACGTTCTTTTAACGTTATTAAAGGTACAATATGTAAGAATTTTGTAATAAAACATCCAAAAATCACTTGCACAGTGTGATATATTTTTTCTACAGTTTTGTACTTACAATATCCCAAAAGTCTCCAAAGATTTTTTATTTCAGAGAAATTCCAATTTTAAATAAGTGGCCGTCCCGGAAAAAAATGTTGCCTGTCAATGACGCAATATCCGCGCAATCCTCGGTTTCCGTTCATACTGCCATAGCCATGACGTAACCATGGCGACAGACGTGGACAACTGCGTAGTGCGTAACGTTTAGCGGCACGCAGTTCTTGTTTCTTTCAAACATAGACCATGGCAAGCAGACTCTGGGACAAACAAGGATAACTAAAATGAGGATCAATATCAGCGTGGCGTTTTTTAAATGCCGAGAGCTCCACGTCCGCGACTAACGCGACTTGACAGAGCTTCACGAGCCACGACTTGACAGCTTTATTAGACAGGTGAGCAAATGTACATAAAACAAATCAATGTTATATAACTAGTGCTGTCAAACTATTAAAATATTTAATCGCGATTAATCGCATTAATGTCATAGTTAACTCGCGATTAATCGCATTTAATCGCACATTTTTATCTATTCTAAATGTCTCTTGATTTCTTTTTGTCCCATTATTTTTTTCTCATTTTAATGCTCTTATCAACATGGAAAAGTGGATCGGCTTGCTTTGTGCAAATGTTTTTTATTGAAAACAATATTGGCATATACTGTTCAATTTCACACTAAAACATTATCACTTGGAGCAAATAATCTCTCACACAATATAACACTGTCCATCAATAAAAGGGTGAAATAAATACTGACGAGGTCCTGATATTGACGAGGGGGCGGAGAATTCGCATCAGCTGTGTGTGTGTGTGTGTGTGTTTGTGCTGGCCATCATCAAGTGGTATTCAGACTGGACGTGCTGCGATGATGATAGCTCAGTTCACAACGACAAAACACACATATTACTTTGGTCTTGTCAATGGAACCATTTGGCAACTTTTTAAAAGTAAACTTTCCATTCAGAATCTTATTGGCATCCATTTCGGCGTCTCGCGCTCGTCATCCACTCAAAACTGGACGTTTTGAACGTTCCTATAACATTCAGAAATAACGTTTTTATAACTTAATGGGAACGTTATGAAAACATTCTTATAACCTAAAATTGTTAGCTGGGGAAGAGGAGAGATTCGCGATTGCACTGAACACGTTTTAAGTGCAGGCATATTCTCTGAGTGAGCCCAGAGAAAATTCTTACAAGAGCAGCGTGTATCTGAGAGCGCGCGCGACTCGAGCAGAGAGATTCGTGCTCGGCACATTATATTCCGCGCGCGAGCAGAGAGATTCGCGCTCGCGCATCCGGCTCGCAAGCCCAAACAAGTGTGTGCGGCGTGCCTGTTGTTTTGTTTCCGGTCTAGCTAGATCCGCTTGCGCTTTCAAAACGTCCTCGCGCGCCGCAAGCCATTGAATTGAATGGGTTTCATAGCGCAGCGGCCCGCATGCCGTCCTGTTGCAAAAGCATGTGAAAAAAAAAACTACAAAGTTTGCTAGGCCAAAAAGACCGTTAATCGCGCGATAAAAAAATTAACGCCGTTAAAATGGGTTTGCGTTAACGCCGTTAATAACGCGTTTAACTGACAGCCTATATATAACGTTAGCTCAACATGATGAAATGTTAGAATATGGTCAGTATGTTATTCTAATGTTGATCTAGCTTACTGTGCTAGTTTCGTATAGCAAACGAACTAACACGTAACATTATAACTTTCAACACACATTTAAATGCTGTTTAGTGTGATAGTGTAACGTTAGACCAAGTGAAGCAGCGCTGCGTTACCTCACAAGTTTAATTCGTCTAATAAACTGACCTGTGTGAGTAATCCAGCACTTGCGGGTAGTTCGGTAAAATTAAATGCCCTTATTCCTTTATATCTGTAGGACTCGCGTGTGATATCTGTCTCTTTAGCAATCGCGACCTGCTTCATACCACTGTAATGTTAAAAAACATGAATGTTTGCACTCATCCATAAACATTATTAGATCCATCAGCTTGACAGCAAGTCCCATCATTCAGCTCATCACTGCGTCATAAACCTACGCCTTTGTTATTGTTGGAAACTGCGTCCTCTTGTGGCGAAAAAGTCTTACATATTGTGCCTTTAATAGTTAATATACACTCACCGGCCACTTTATTAGGTACCCCATGCTAGTAACGGGTTGGACCCCCTTTTGCCTTCAGAACTGCCTCAATTCTTCGTGGCATAGATTCAACAAGGTGCTGGAAGCATTCCTCAGGGAGTTTGGTCCATATTGACATGATGGCATCACACAGTTGCCGCAGATTTGTCGGCTGCACATCCATGATGCGAATCTCCCGTTCCACCACATCCCAAAGATGCTCTATTGGGTTGAGATCTGGTGACTGTGGAGGCCATTTTAGTACAGTGAACTCATTGTCATGTTCAAGAAACCAATTTGAAATGATTAGAGCTTTGTGACATGGTGGAAGTAGCCATCAGAGGATGGGTACATGGTGGCCATAAAGGGATGGACATGGTCAGAAACAATGCTCAGGTAGGCCGTGGCATTTAAACGATGCCCAATTGGCACTAAGGGGCCTAAAGTGTGCCAGGAAAACATCCCCCACACCATTACACCACCACCACCAGCCTGCACAGTGGTAACAAGGCATGATGGATCCATGTTCTCATTCTGTTTACGCCAAATTCTGACTCTAACATCTGAA